ACAGAAAAAGAATTCTGAGATCTGTCTCCACCCACCTCCTCTTCCCTGCAAAGGAATAGATGGGAACGGGAATCTGCCCTGCTAGGATTAGTTATCCTCGGTGTTTTTCACAGCCCATTCCTTTTTCCTTGGTCTTTTCTCCTTTCGTTTCATAGTGGCAGAAATAGAAATGTGCTGCACCTCCTGGGAAGAAGAGAGGCGGTGGGGAGACTGTCCCTGGGCTCTGGTCCCCATCTCCACAAGCCGTTCAGGCCGTCCATTGCTTCTAGCTGTTTGCTGGCGCAGGGGTGGGGGCTTGAGGCTTTCCTGCATGGCACATGTGTTGAGGGTGTTTGACCAACTGAATTGCAAACCTGGCTGCTCTCCCAGCATGCCCAGTGAGTTCCATGGGGGAAATAGCACTCAGCAAGCCTTTTGATGCCTGCTAAATTCAGGGCAATTATAATTATCTAATACTCTGAGATCTCAGCCTTCCTGTGTCAAAAACAAAGAAGTTAGACCTGATAATCCTAAGTGCTTTTTTTTTTTTTTTTTTCACTTAAGAAGAAGCTTAGCCATTCATCTGTCATTGTCATTTTTTGTTATTCTCTTTGTCCTTGTAAGGCTGGCAACTTTATTATTAATTAATTTATTTTTAAAGATTTATTTATTTGAAATGCAGAGTCACAGAGAGAAGGAAGAACCAATTTCCATCTGCTGGTTCACTCTCCGAATGGCTGCCATGACCAGAGCTGGGCCAGGTTGAAGCCGGCTGAGAGGAGCCCCATCTGGATCTCCCGTGTGGTTGGCAGGGGCCCAAGCACTTGGGCCACATCCCTGTGCCTTCCTGGATGCATTTGCTGGGAATGAATTTGGAAGTAGAACAGCTGAGAGTTGAACCCTCCAGTGGAAGATGCTTGCCTCGTAGGCTGTAGCACCCTACTGCTGGCTCTAATTTTTCTAATGGTCTGAAAGTTTTGTGGAAGTGCCTCTTGTCGTCATCTCTGGAAGGAAAAAGGACTCTGCTAGAACACTGAAAATTTCTTGGAGGGTTACATTTCTGAGTTCAGGAAAAAATACCTTTCAATATATATAGGTACATACTTTAAAAAAAATTTTTTTTTTTAAGATTCATTTATTTTTATTGGAAAGGCAGATATACAGAGAGGAGGAGAGACAGAGAGGAACATCTTCCGTCCACTAGTTCACTCCCCAAGTGATTACAACATCTGGTGCTGTGCTGATCTGAAGCCAGGAGCCAGAAACTTCCTCCATGTGTGAGCAGGGTCCCAAAGCTCTGGGCTGTCCTCGACTGCTTTCTCAGGCCACAAGTGGGGAGCTGGATGGGAAGTGGGGCTGCCGGGATTAGTACTGGTGCCCAAATGGGATGAGAACCTGCGTGTTCAAGGTGAGGACTTTAGCAGTTAGGCCATGGCGCTGGGCCCAGGTAGATACTTTTTTAAAGGGGACAGGTTGCTAAATGATTCCTTGAGATGAATTTGTCAAATTGTCTGCTGAGTTCCATTATAAATATGGAGCTTTAATCTCTAGGGACAAACTTGGTTGTCCAGTACCATGCAGAAATATTTAAATATGTAGCAGACTACTTAAAAATCACACAATAAGAGGGAAACTAAGGGGGGAAAACCCACTATGAGATTTCTCCATAGTAGTAGGACAAAAAGCCTGTTTCCTGATAGCTCTAGCCTCCTGAGGTTACTTGGGCCTTGAAATGCCATTTTAAAAGACTAAATAGTTCTGTTTATTTGCCAACCTAAGAATCATTGTTTTATTGCAAGTAAACATTTTCTTTTAGAAGGCCAAGGTACAGGTTTAAATGTTGCTTAGATTTTCTTCATTCCGGAGGCATTTATCTGGTATTTAGTGGTTCCCTGTTTCACTAAGGATTTTGGTAAGCTTAAAGGCACTATTTGCATTGGTATTTGTTGATGTATTTGTCTGATTTTCTTTTTGATTCTTTCTGCTGGTGAAAGCAAGCCCAGCAGTAGGATTGAAGGGGTCAGTTCTGAAACTCATTATTTTTCTCTAGGTCTGGATTTCCTTTGTGTAGGCTGTGACCACATTATTTAGAAAAGTCAAACGGTCTTCCTGCCTTGCACAGACCATTTCAAGGCTTTGGACTTTGTTATTGCAGATAGCCGTAAGCTGACGTGGAGAGCTGATGCTGTCAATATCATAATGACGACTGTGCATGAATCTGTTGAATGTAAGAATAACTTCTCTTTAAAGATTCACCCCAAATTGATTTTTCCACCAATTAAAATCCACTCTTGTGAAAATGAGGGTCTTAGGTACTATGTTGAATAGGTTACCAAACTGCTGTGATAAGATTTTGCTTGAAAGCCCAATAACCTTCTCTAAGGGTAACCATTCATTACAGAGATGTGGAGTCCCCTTCTGTATGTTGTCTTTATGGCAAAAATAGAGGCCAGGAAGGACATGATTCCTATCCTTAAATTACTTTTATTCTATTTTATTTGCTCATTTAAATATTTTTAAAAGATTTATTTATTTTTATTGGAAAGTCAGATTTACAGAGAGGAGAGACAGAGAGATCTTTCTGCTGGTTCACATCCCCAGGTGGCCGCAGCGACCAGAGGTGAGTTAATCCAAAGCCAGGAGACAGGAGCTTTTTTCAGGCTCCCACATGGGTGTAAAGTCCCAAGGCTTTGGGCCGTCCTCCACTGCTTTCCCAGGCCACAAGGAGGGAGCTTGATGGGAATTAGGCAACAAGGACACAAAGCAGTGTCCATATGGGATTCTGGCAAGGACTTAGCCACTGAACAATCACTCCAGGCCCTTTATTTTATTTTTATTTGAAAGAGATATGGAGGGAAGAAAAGACAGAGAGAGATCTTCCACCCTCTGGTTAACTCTCCAGTTGGCTGCAGTGGCTGGAACTGAGCTGATCCGAAGGCAGGAGTCTCTTCCTGGTTTCCCACCTGTGTACAAGGTCCCAGGATCTTGGGCCATCCTCACTGCTTTTCTAGGCCATAAACGGAGCTGGATCAGAAGTGGAGTAGCCAAACAGGAACCGGTGCCCATATTGGTTGCCATCATCACAGGGCCAGCTTAGCCTACTACACCATGGTGTTGACCCATGATTACCTTTATTCTTGAGGAAAATAAAACAAATTCTGGTCCTTTCTTACCCCTGCAGTTCTGATTCAGATTTGGTGAATTCAGACTAGAAAGAACTTGAGTGATTACTGTCAAGATGAACTATTTGTTCTCTGGCATCCAGAGTGTAGACTTATTTTTGTCATTTTCTTTCCCTTTCTCCTTCTGCCTGTTTTTCAGGAATTTCTCCTTCATTGCTGAGATCTTCAGTGTCCAGTATGTAAATTTAAAAGTATTAAGAGAGTCAGACCTGGGTGTTTGGCACAGTGGTTGAGCTATCACTCTGGGCACTCACTTTCGATATTGGAGGGCTTGGATTTACGTATTGGCCCAGCTTCCTACTAATGGTTCCTGAGGAGGTAGCAGGTGATGGCTCAAGTGGTTGTATCCCTGCTACCCACATTAGAGACACAGATTGAGTTCCTAGCTCCTGGCTTCTACCTGGCCAAGCCTTAGCTGTGACAGGCTTTTAGGAAATGAACAGCAGAGTAGAAGATAGATTTCTATTTTTCTCAAATAATTTTTTATTACTTGTTTATTTTAAAGGTTAGAAATACAAAGAGGGAGGGAGAGACAGAGGGGTCTTCCATCTTCTGGTTTACCCCCCAGATGCCTGCAACAGCCAGTGCTGGGTTAGACTTCAACTGGGAGGTTGGGAGGAATGTGAGTGTGTTAAGAACATTTGATCTGCAGGGATTTTATGGTCTTTTGGGAGGCATAACATGAAATCATGAAGACATAGCTGATAAAAAGGCAGTTTGCTGTATAGAACTTGGCTCAAAGATTAAGGTCTACTCTCGTAGTTCCCTGGCTTTGATAGTGCCAAATAAGTTGAAGGGGTCATTTTATCTACTTCCAATTTTTCATTTGTAAAATGGAGTTATTACCCTTTATCTTGTCTTCATCACAGTAACATTGTAAGGGGAAAATTAGATAATGTTACTGAAAATATAGAGCCAGATGACGAGCCAATTTATATGTGAGGAACCCGTGAATCATTTGTCAGAGGTAATAGGTATTTTGGTAGGGTTTTTCTATAGGAGGGGATTTCTCCAGGCTGTAGTGATAAGGAAAAGTGATCCGACTGATGGAAGCATTTAGACAGGGGAATGATAAAGCAAGAAACTACCAAAATTGTGTAGACTAGATTACAGATGTTCTTTGGGGCAAATAATACTTGTTCTATTAGTGCAAGTGGAAAGGGCCTTACACCTTTTCATACTCGAGTCATGAAGTAGTCATATGTCCAATGTTCGTAGTTACTGCCAGTTTTCAAACAGGTCATTGTCATCAGCAATATGTGAGAGAATTCCTGTTGCTCCATCTCCTTGTCAGCACTTGAAATTATCTTTTTCATTTGAAGTCAGTTATAGATGTGAAGTTAAAGAACTATGATATGAACTCTCAGATAGCCATGAAAGGGGTGTTTGGGAAGTTCAGAGGGAGAGATTGTATCCTGTGTGTGTCTGTGGAGGGGTGTGGTGCCCAGTGAAATTTATGGAATATGTGTGTTGGGTGGGTCTTTTCGGTGACCATATGTTGTCCAGGACCAATTTCTGATCTCATTTCTCTGGCTGTGCTTATAAACAATGGAATGCCAATAGTTCTGTGTCTATGCTGTATTTCCCAGATCCCCAGAATCAACCCCTGGATGATACGCTTTCTACCCTACCTCTCCTTGTCCTGCCACAGAAAGGCTGCAGAGAAAGAGGACATGCTGTGCACCGGCACAACTTGATGAGAGATACAATAGTGTCCGTGTATGTGCTAATGAGCAGAGAAGGAAGGGTGTTCTTTGGTGATGTTTGGTGGAACAGGTGGAAAAGGTCATCACAGTTGTAAAGCCAGTTTGTGTTTAAACCACATATAAGCTGAGAACGACCTCTTTGCCTATAATGACATCATTTTAGGGAAAAAAAATAATTCAACAAACATTCATGCTTGAAGAATGTTGAAAGTTTGTCTGCTATTAGAATGGGCGGGGAGTAAGAGGGACACCAAAACAAAGAGAGCCTGCCTGTTCTCTCAAAGCTCCTCCATTGCTTGTGTTTCTGCTCAGGGAAAAATTGCCATTTCTTTGTCAGCTTTTATCCTGCGGGTGGACCCTAGCTGGGTGTTTGTTTTCTGTAGTTTTGCCAAATCACTTTGAAGGCTGGTATGAGCATTGATCATGTCCTGGAGCCTTTCCTCTTTGTTCTGTCAGCAAATATTAGAAAATGTACCTTACATTATCTAGTTGGGAATAAAGAGGTTGCCCTGCCTGCTCCCAGAGAGCAGCACTTTTATGTTTCATGGTCGTCACTCCTGATCCCGTGGCAGGCCCTGGGGTGTTTGTCAGCGGAGACAGAAGTAGAGCAGTGCGGGACCTGAACCGATGCTCCTATGGGATGCTCGTGTTGCAGGCTGCAGCTTAGCTGTGCCACGGTGCCAGTCCCAAGAGAATCTCACCCCCTAAGTCAGAGGCTGCAGATTGGCATATCTGGTTGGGTTGTCTGGTTTGTGCATTTATTTTGTTGGGTGTGCAGTATCTCCTATTTTGGAACCCAGCCTGGGGAGATCAGAACTGTCTCAGGGGCGACAACCCCAGTATGTGTGCAATGAAGGTGCCTGGAAGACAAAGGATCATGAGCAGTTTGCTTCATCTCAGGAGTAGGATAAGCCCCAGCTGTTGTGTGGAAGCTTCACTCTAAGTTCCCTGCCAGGCCTCCCCGCGTTATGATTCCTTGGATATTGGCTCGGTCTGGCTTTTTGGGAACTCTGAGGCAAGAAGCCATAGAGCTGTGATCTGAGGGCAAGTCCTTTGGAGTAGCTGCCCATTTGGTGGAATTCTTTATGCTATATTCTTCATGTCTCTCCATTTTACTTCCTTTTTATTTTTTAAACCCTTTCCCATATTGATCTTAGAGTTTTTAAAACAATTTTTTTGAGAGAGATGATCAGACAGAGTGCTGTTCTATGTTTACACTCCAAATGTTCAGGAGCTGGAAACAGTCCAGCTCTCCGTGTGGGTGGCGGGAACCCGCTGCTTGGGCGATCACCTGCTGCCTCCCAAGGTATGCACTAACGGCAAGCTGGAATAGTACCAGACTGGGGATTCAAACCTAGACACCTTGATACAGGATACTAGTGTCTCACTGGCAGCTTAACCACTGCGCCACTCTAGTACTTTATTATTGGCAGAGCATTTTTGTTCTGAAGTTTATTAAAGTTCATGCCAATTGCCTACTTGACTCTAGCCAACTCAGCTGCAATAGTAAAGGGACTTCACCCAGCTATGATGCTGGTCATTCTGCTAGAATTAACTGTATTACCTTCACTTTATTAGGAAGCTGTGCCTGTTTTACTACTGTGTCTATCTCCTGGCCTGTCTTAAGACTTCACAAGGACAACAAACTAGTAAATGTTTAATGGGCCTTGTCTTTGTCAGATTGACTTTTTTTTTTTGCAGCTCCTAATATTTGCAAGCTGTGGGAAAGTGCTTTCATCTTTAGCTAAAGAAATAACATCTAATTAAAAGCAAAACTTTTAGACTTATAAATTAAGACCTGCTATGCTCCCTTCCCCTCAGACCAACTGCAGTAAGCAACAATTCCTGTGGGTTGAAAGTAGATGGATTTCTAAGTCTGATACTTTTCTCAGTGCCTGCCTGCTTCGACTTCCTGTAATTACTCTGACATGGTCATCTCGTGTGTGGAGCACCATGGTAATTTCCATGACAACTGATTGTTATTTCCCAGAGAATAAGAAGAAGCTATATGTGCTAGGAACTCAAAAAGGATATTGGTATCAAATTGTTGTGATGCTAGTAAAGTCTTGAGCAAAAAGGACTTTTCAGAATCAATTGGCTAATTAAGCCTTTTCCTTTGTAGATGGGAAAAGAGGTCCAGAGAGGGCAAGCAACTTGCCTAAGGAGTTGGTGGATTGTGCAATAAACTCAACATCCTCAGTGTCTGTTGCCTCCCATTGTGTCTGCTGGGCTGTATGTGTTTCATGAAGTCAAGAATCACATCTGTTTTGTTGATGAATGTTTTCCAGTGCTTGCCATAGGAGTTAAGTGGTTTTTGAGTGAATTAATAAAGTTAGCGCTTCTCAAACTGGGACAAATTGCTGCATGTGGGATGATATGAGACTGGAAAAAACTTGTCTCTGAAGTGTCAGCATACTCAGATTTGGGCTGGGTGTTTCACCTAGAGATTAAGTCATTGGTTGGGACACCCACCCTCCATATTGGGGTGCTGGGTTTGAGTCCTGGCCCTACCTGGGTTCTAGATTCCCATTAGTGATCACTGTGGGAAGCCACAGGTGGTAACAGGTAACTGGGTCCCTGTCAGTCCTGTAGGAGATCTGGATTGAGATCCTGGCTCCTAGTTTATTAACCTGGCTCAGCCCTAACTGTGGTGGGGATTTCCATCAGTCTCTTAAAAAAGAAGTTAAATTGTATACTAAGATTGGTGGGGTTGGGGCAGGGCTGGATTAGTTAAGTATTATAATTGGTGAATCACAATCACATGATAGAGCAGATAAAAAGTTAGTATGAATTTTTGAGATGAGAATGCATCAAATAAATTATGAGAATATAACTGACTGACTGACCTCTACCCCAAAGAGGCTAGTGTTGCCAAATCCCTGACATTTTATAAAGAGGAGTTAGAAATACATTATTACATGTCTGGGCAGGAACTGGATTTTAGATGGAGCCAGATTGTTGGGTCAGGGTTGGTTCTCTCTTTTTGGAGCCTGGTTTCTTGGCTTTAGCTCAGCGTGGAAAGTATGAAGGTACTTGGTAGGACAGGTTTCCACGCTGAACATTGTCCTATGATCTTCCAGGACAGCTCAGTGTTTCTCATTTTGTTCCCTTGTTTTGCAGATGAAATTAAGGTCCAGAGCAGTGGGCACTTGCCTCTAGGACCCTGAGCAGTCGCAGGTCCCAGGCAGGCCCATTTCCAACACTAGGCCTTGTGTTGATGTTTCTGCTTTACATACTGTTAGGACATGGGCCCTGGTGGAGCTGATGGCTGGCGGACTTGGCTCAGTAGGCTTTCTGGTGAAATCCTGTCATCCCGGGAAGAGGAGGGATTGAGGGAGCATTTGGGAAGGTGCCAGACTCTTCTTGGTACAGAGTATTTCTATCACTGGCCATAGCATGAGAGTGACCTTATTTATTTTTCTTTTTAAAAAATTATTTGGATTTGAAAGACATTTACGAAGAGGAGACAGAGATGATCCATCCTCTGCTTCACTCCCCAAATGGTTGCAATGGCCCAAGCTGAACTGATCTGAAACCAGGAACCAGGAGCCGCCTCTAGGTCTCCCGTGTGTGTGCAAGGTCCCAAGGAGCTGGACCATCCTTTGTTGCTTTCCCAGGCCATAAGCAGTGAGCTGCATGGGAATTGGAGCAGCCAGGGCATGAACTGGCACCCATATGGGATGCTGGTACTTGAAGGTGGAGAATTAGCTTGTTGAGCCACAGTGCTGGCCATTTTCCTTTTATACCTAGAAAAACATAGAGGCTAGCTCAGCAATAGGGAGCCTCAGTTACTGAGACAGATTAATTTTTCTGACTCTTTTGTTCTATTTTGTTCCCTTTGCCTCCCTCCTTTTGATTTTCATTCTTTTGAGAGGCAGACATGTGCTTTTTCATTTTCCAAATGCTTACAATGGCTCGGGCTGGGTCAAAGTCAGGAACTCGGTCCAGGTCATCTCCTAAATAGATGGCAGGAACCCAGTTACTTGAGCTATCACAGGGCCAGAGTCTGCATTCACAGGAAGTTGGAATGGGGAGACAAGACTTGAATCCCAGGCACTGTGATATAGAAAAAGGGTGTCCTAATTGGTGACTTAGACATCAGGTTAAATGCCCACCCTCCCGCGTTCCTTTCTGACCCTACCACCTTACATTTCTGCATGGCCCTTTTGCTGCTGTATCCTTTTTTTTACCTCCCTTCACAATTGTCCTTCTGCTTGTGAAATGTTGGTAAGATCACTGCAGTAGGCAGAGCCTGGAATTCAACAGGATTTCCCTACTTTAAAGATTAAATCTTTAAACTGCCCCTCTTGTCTAGTATCACCATAAGTTGTAAAGGGTAGAATCTGAAGTCTGGTGTTTTGTCAGTAACAATATATTTAACATTCATTGTGCCCCTGTGCTTCATCTCAATAGAAGGGTCCTTGCATGGCTAATTTATCATGATTTTATTTTCATTTTTTCCTCTAAGTAGAAAACCCTTTCACCTCCCTGCTGCCTCTGTTTGACAGGCTTCTATTTATCTTTTTTTTTTTAAATAATGATTATTTTAATTTGAAAGACAGTTAACACAGAGAGAAGGAGATGGAGAGAGAGATCTTCCTATCTACTGGTTTACTCCCCGATGGCTGCAATAGCTGGAGCTGGTCTTGTCTGAAGCCAGGAGCCTGGAGCTTTGAACTTCATCTGACTCTTCCGTGAGGGTGCCGTCCTCTGCTGCTTTCCCAGACAAATTAGTAGGGAGCTGCCTGGGAAGTGGAGCATCTGGGTTTTGAACCCAGCACTCCTATGGGATGCTGGTGCTTTAGGTGGAGGCTTGACCTCCTACACCATGGTACTGCCTCTCATTTGTGTCTTTTTATACTACTTCTGGTGCCACCTGTTTAGTGACACTTCCCTCAATTGCTACCTAAGCAGATTTAATCCCCATCCTTTGTACAATTGGCTTCTGCTTCTGTAGTTACACTGTAGTACTATGTCAGGCCCAGTGCAATGGCTCAATGGCTAAATTCTCACCTTGCAAGTGCCAGGATCCCATATGGGTATCAGTTTGTATCCCTGCTGCTTTACTTCCCATCCAGCTCCCTGCTTCTGGCTTGGGAAAAAAGGAGGATGGTCCAAAGCCTTGGGACCCTGCACCCATATGGGAGACTCAGTTGAAGCTCCTGGCTTCTGATTGGCTGAGCTCCGGCTTTGCAGCCATTTGGGGAGTGAACCAGTGGATGCAAGATCTTTCTCTCCTTCTCTACATAAATCTGACCTGCTTTTCCACTAAAAATAAATACATACATAAATAAATCTATTGTATATGTCGCACTCATCCTCTGTTCAGGGTACAGTGTACTGTTTACTTCTGTTTTTCTTTGTGTCTCTGTAATAAATCTGGCAGAATAATGCTTGCAGAATGAATGACAGAATTAGGTATTCCAATAGCCTCCGTCTGAAGTTGAACGCAGAGTGCTGCAGGTGAAATGATGACTGCATTCTTGAGAGTTTGCAGGAGTTCTTGAGAGAGAACTTCTCTCTGGAAGAAGTCTTGGAAGCTTCTAGAGGCTGGTGGAATTTGAATGTGTCCTTGAAGATTCAGAATTGGTTCAAGTTTGACAGAAATGTTGGAAAGAACATTGGCCCATGGAGGGAATGTTTTCAGTGAAAGTAACAAGGAAGTACAAAGGTCAGGCCCTACCTGCTGGTTCCTCCCTCATCCCGGAATTCCTGTGGGAGTGTGCATGCAGTCTGGGCTAGCTTTTCTTTTTCTACCCCTTTTCTACCTGTTCCACCTCTTCCTTCCGTCTCTTCTCCTTTCCTTCTGTTATCCTCTTGCCTTTTTATATGTGGTTTCTTCTCAATGGTTTCCCTTCCTGATCTGAAAAAACAGCAACAAAAACACTGCCTTTGCTTTCCTGCATGCTTTCTTGCCCTCTTCCCAGGTAACAGGCATTCCAGGTTTTAGGGTGGAGATGTGAATCAGCTGTACAATATTTAACTCCAAATAACACTTGTGAAGCTGAGAAGTAATCGTGGCATAATTGCTTCTCATCTGTGTCTTGGGTTTTATTGGCATTGACTTTTTTTTAACCTCCTACAATGCTGAGGGTGTCATTATCATTTTATTTTTCGGTGGTTGTCAGAATGTCAGTTTTAATGAGAAATTTCTGCAGTCAGGCCTACCCTTGAGTGGTAAGAGCCTTCAGGCAAACCCAAGGCTGGATGAGTCATCCAGGCTCTTGGATGTGTTTTCTCATGCAAACAGGTGTGTGGGCCACACATACACACACCTCTTCTCTTACAGGACTTCCGGCACATGCGCAGATGCACAACTGTGTCATTTTTCTTCTCTTTCAGACCTGGAGGTGTGATCTCCGATAAGCTTTCAAGTCTTTTTCTCTCCTCTTATATGTCTGTATTTACTCTCTTACATGCTCAGTTGTGATGTTTTCTACCCAAATACCTGGCGTTGTGTGTACACATAGATTTGAACAAGCCTGTCGGACAGACTGCCTATACTTTATACTCCCTTACATATATACATAAATCCTCCGTCCACAAATACCTGTGCTTCCACTGGCATCTCTGCCCAAACGATCAGATCCCACACACTCAGTGGCACTTACATACTCCTCCACACCTGTGAAGTACTTTATCCGTCTGTGGACATGGGATGATGGCTGAATAGTGAAATACTCACCTTATACGCACTGAGATCCCATGTGAGTGCTGATTTGTATCCCGAATGCTCCATTTCTCTTCTAGTTCCCTGCTTGTGTCCTGAGAAAGCAGCAGAAGATGGTCCAAAGCCTTGGGACCCTGCACCTTCGTGGGAGACCCAGAAGAAGCTCCTGGCTTCGGATCAACTCAGCTCTGACCATTGTGGCCACTTGGGGAATGAACTAGCAGATGGAAGATACTTCTGTCTTTCCTTCTCTCTGTAAATCTGCCTTTCCAATAAACTAGATAAA